GATTTTTAAAAATATATATATTTTATTGATTTTGTACAGAGAGAAAGGGAGAGAGATAGAGAGCTAGAAACATCGATAAGAGAGAATCATCAACCAGCTGCCTCCTGCACACACCCCACTGGGGATGTGCCCGCAACCAAGGTACATGCCCTTGCCCGGAATTGAACCCGGGACCCTTCAGTCCCCAAGCCGACGCTCTATCCATTGAGCCAAACTGGTTTCGGCTGTCCATCAAGATTTGCTTTATATATTTAGGTGCTCCTATGTAGGTTGCATAAATGTTTTTAAGGATTATATCCTCTTGTTAGATTGATCCCTTTATAATTATGTAATGTCCTTCATTGTCTCTTATTATAGCGTTTGTTCTAGCCTATTTTATGTGATAGAAATATTGCTACTCCAGATGTTTTTCATTTCTGCTTGCATAAAAATATATTTTTCTGTCTCTTTGCTTTCAGTCTGTATATGTCTTCTGTTTTGAGGTGGGTCAATTGTAGACAACATAGATATGAGTTTCCCTCTTAGGATTGCCTTCACTGTGTCCCATAGATTTGGGGTTGTTGTTTTTTCTTATTCATTCAGATACCCTATGTCTTTTTTTTTTTTTAGAATTAAAAGTATAATTTTGTTTAAATGTTGCTTGTACATAATCTATAGTAAGATATACAGAGTTAAATTTGCATAACAGGAGGTTTTTTAATACCACTTTAAGTTCTGTTTACAACAGCATTGGCTATACTGCAGGATGACAGATATGGCACTCTGGTTTAGAAAACAAAGATTACTTGCTGCTCTGGCTGATACATTCCCACTAGTCTTTAGTGGATTAAAAGTGGCCAGGATTCACAACCTAGCCCAGGTGTAGGCAACCTGCAGCTCCAGAGCCGGCATGCAGCTCTTTTGAAGCATTGCTGCGGCTCCCAACAGCAGGGCCGATAGCAGGGGCAGGGCGGGGACTTAGCGTCGCTAGGCAACCACAGCGTCCCTGTCCTGGCCCAGCCTCCTCCCTCACATCACAGCATGAGGGGAAAGAGAGGTACTGACAGAGGGGACACTGAAAAATAATAATAATAAAAAAGCAATAAAGAGAAAAAAGGGAGAAGGAAAAAGAAGAAGACAGAGAGGACTGGAGAAAGAGAAAGAGAGGGCTTGCAGTGTGACTGTCACTGGGAGTCGGGCCAGTGAGTGGAAAGCATATATTCTGACCTCCTGCTCCACAACAAGGTCCGGTGGCTGTTCAGAGGCGAGGTGCTAAAACGCTTTGTCGTATGTTTGGAAGAAGTAAAAACTTTCCTGGCCAGCAAAGAGCTCACCTTTGCTGAGCTGGAACAACCAGAGTGGCTGGAAAAATTACATTTTATGGTAGACATGACAGCACATCTAAACACACTAAATACAACCCTTCAGGGGAAAGGAGGCACAGCCCTGCACATGCTGGAGGACGTTTTGGCATTCAAGCGCAAGTTGACAGTGTTTGTCAAAGATTTACAGAGAGGTACACTGTCTCACTTTCCCTCGTTGAGAGAGTTCAAACAAAGTCATGATATGATAAATTTGGAATATTTGAAGTCTGCAATCACCACAATGCAAAGTTTGTTTGGGAAACGATTCTGTGAGTTCAGAGAGGAAAAAACCACATTATCCTTTCCTGTCACTCCCCTGGCGATCGATCCATTCCTATTGAATATGACTGCATTTGCAGGTGTAAGTCAACCTGATCTTGAGATGGAACTGGCCGATATAGCCGACAAAGATATATGGGTGTCCAAGTTCAAATGCTTGGCCGCTACTCTTGAGGATGTTGCCCGTCAGAAGGCCATTCTGGCTCAGAATCATAAATGGAGTGATATTGAAAACCTTCCCAAACAGGACAAACTTGTATTCGAAACATGGAATGCCATCCCCAACACTTATATAAACATGAAAAAGTATGCATTGGAGTCCTGTCGATCTTCGGCTCCACATATGTATGTGAGCAGGTCTTCTCCAACATGAACAATATTAAAAACAAACATCGGTCACGCCTCACAGATGACAACTTGCAAGCCAGTGTGAAAATGAAGGTAACGTCTTACAGCCCTGATGTGCAGACACTGTAAACTGAGGTTCAGGAGCAAAAATCCCATTAACCAGGTAAATTAAATATTTTAATTGGCTATTAATTTGCAAAAATATATTTTACATTGTTAAGTGAAAAAGTCTTTTTTTTCTTCAGATTGACAGCTAACTGCACAATCTGGTATATAGCATTAAGATAAGAAACAATATATGCAGTGTTATATTTGTTTTAAATGTCGCAATGGTTTTGGGGCTCCCAGGTTGTTTTTTTTTCCTTCGGAAATGGGTCCAAGTGGCTCTTTATGTCTTAAAGGTTGCTGACCCCTGACCTAGCCATTTGGTGCTCAGAAAAGATTTTGATATTCTAAAAACTGAAAGGAAAATGTTAATTCCTTAACAATATACTTTTACTAAAAAAAAAAATAAGTGTACCAATATTATGATTTAGTTTGGGGCTATCAACAGAAAATCAGCCATGTCATGTTTGTGCTGCTAATGTGTGATACTAAGTGGTCCTCTCATCTCCTTTGCCTAATTTATATGAGAAAAAAGTTTATAAAAAAAAAATTAAACTAACATCTTAACAGTGGTCTTAAAATATTCAGTAAATCGTTTTAAATAGATGTGTTGTCATCAGCCTTTATTGTTCCATTTATGGAGTACAGGAAGAATAGATTTAGCATAATTCTTAAAGGCCCTCGGAATTTTGGAGTGATAAATGAGCACTGGCTGACGCTACCAGCTGCATTAGCCCATAACAAGAAAGCTGTTCTGTCCTTGGAAGTTCTAAAGCCAGGCATTGACTTCTCTCTAGCTATGAAAATCAGCATCTACTTCCAACACAAGACCTTCATCTACATTAAAAATATGTATTTTGCTGTAGTCTACTTCATTAATTATCTTAGGAAGATCTGAATAACTTGTGGCAGCTTCTACCTCAGCACTTGCTGTTTTACCTTGTACTTTTTTTTCAATTTAAATTTTTATTGATTTTTTTACAGAGAGTAAGAGAGAGGGATAGAGAGTTAGAAACATCGATGAGAGAGTCATTGATCAGCTGCCTCTTGCACGCCCCCTACTGGGGATGTGCCCGCAACCAAGGTACATGCCCTTGACCGGAATCGAACCTGGGACCTTTCAGTCCGCAAGCCTACTCTCTATCCACTGAGCCAAACCGGTTTCGGCCACCTTGTACTTTTATATTATGGAAACAGCTTCTTTCCTTAAACCTCATGAACTAACTTCTACTAGCTTCAAACATTTCTTCTACAGCTTCCTCAACTCTCTCAGCCTTCACAGAATTGAAGAGACGTAGGGACTTGCTCTGGATCCGCTTTGGCTTAAGGGAATGCTGTAGCTGGTTGAATCTTCTATTCAAGCCCCTAAAACTTTCTCCATATCAGCAATAAGGCTGTTTTAGTTACTTATCATTCATGTGCTCACTGGAGTAGCACTTTTAATTTTCTTCAAAAACTTCTCCTTCCCATTCACAAATTGGCTAACTGTTTGGTCAATGAAGCTCAGCTTTTGGCCTGTCTTAACTTTTGAGAAGCTTAATCATTTATAGCTTTTTATTTATAAGTTTTCCTTTCACTTAAATACTTAGTGACCATTGTAGAATTATTAACTGGCCTAATTTCAATATTATTGTGTCTCAGGGGAAAGGGAGTCCTGAGGATAAAGTGATGGGGGAATGGCTAGTTAATGGAGTAAGTATATAAACATTTATCGATTAAGCTCACCATCTTCTATGGTTACGGTTTATGAATTCATGCACCAATGGGGTCCTGGCTTGCGGGCTGGGCCAAAACTGGCTCTCCAACATCCTCTGAGGGGTCCCAGATTTCAAGAGGGTGCATGAGGGACCCCCCCAGTGCATGATCAGGGCCAGGGAGCAATGTGGGAGGTTGACCAGCAGAAGGGCTCCAGAGCATGTCAGCCCCCTCTTGCTCAGTCCCCATCAGCTGGACCCCAGCAGCAAGCTAACCTACCAGTTGGAATGTCTTCCCCGTGGTGGTCAGTGAATGTCATAGTGAGCAGTTAAGCTGCCTTGGCATATTATTAGCATATTACACTTTGATTGGCTGAATGGATGACCGGATGGCTGGATACTTAGCATACTAAGTTTTTATTATATAGGATAATAGAGATCACTGATCACAGATCACCATAACATCTATCTATATAAAAGCTTAAGCGACTGTCACAACTGAATGGATAACCGAACAGGCTGGAAGGGGCAGCCAGGCTGGCAGTGGGGATTAGTGAGGGGCAACCAAATGACTGAGCAGCAGGCTGCATGGGAGACCCAGCCGGCAGGGGGGGCAGTGAGGAACGACCAAACAACCAAATAGCAGGCTTCATAAGGTAACCAGGCTGGCAGGGGAGGTGGGCAGTTGGGGGTAAACAGGCTGACAGGGAGGAGGGGCAGTGAGGGGCAATCAGAAAGGCAGGCAGGTGAGCAGTTAGGAGCCAGTAGTCCAGGATTGTGAGAGGGATGTCTGACTACTGGTTTAGGCCCAATCCCTGAGGGATCTCAGATTGGAAATTGTGCAGGCTGGGCTGAGGAGACCCTCCCCTTCTTATGCACAAAATTCATGCACTGGGCCTCTAGTCTATAATAATAAAAGCATATTATGCTAATTAGACCGGATGTCCTTCCAGGCGGCCTTCTGGATGAAGCCAGGGCTCTGAGAGAAGCCTGGTCCTGGGTGCCTGCCAGTGGCCAGAGGGAAGCCTGGGTCCTGGGTGTCAGAGGGAAGCTGGTGCCAGCAGCTGGGGGAAGGAAGGCCTGCTCTTCATGAATTTTGTGCAAGTATATAATAATAATGAAAATATTTGAAATATTACAAGAATTACAAAATATGAAAGAGAAAACACAGAGTGAGAAAATGGTGTTGGAAAAATGGTACTGATAGACTTGCTCAATGCAGGGTTGCCACTAAACTTGAATTTGTAAAAAAAATGCAACATCT